AGATTTGTTATTGATAGAAAGTCTACAAGTGGATATGTTTTTCTTCTTGCTGCTGGTGCAATCTCATGGAAAAGCTCCAAGCAGAAGGTGATTGCTTCTTCAACTACGGAGTTCAGGAGTTGAATTTCGTTTATCAACCTGAAAACTTGAATTCTGTCAAGCAACATAGTGCTTATGGTATAGGTACTTGTAATCATAAAGTGCACATGTAGAAGAGATTACATACTGCATTTATGATTCAATATTCGAAGCTATAAGTGACAGGTTGTTAAACGTTTAATTGCAGCTTTAGGGGACTTGTGATCACCTTAGTCTTAGCTTATGTAATATCATCCTTCTTGGACACTCAAGTGGGAGAATGTAAGGTGTGAGTGTCAAGAAGAATGAGTTCTTGTTCTCGACAAACTGATAGCTCAGTGTATGAGTTATCATCCCTTTCGAGTGAACCCTATTCTAGCTGGATCATTGGCTGTTGAGTGTAGAATGACCTTCTGTCATTCAAGTGCTGCGATGTCCAGTTCTTCGTCAGGTAAGTCTATCAACTTTACTTATGCATGTCATCGTGTGTATGTGATTCTATGCATGCAGCGTGTTAACTTCCTACGGCATAAACTAACAGCCGAGCAAAAATTTAACGAAATATACATCAAATACTGCCTAACAAAGAAAAAGTATTAACAAAATGGATGACTTATGTGAAGAAAAATTAACAAAAAGTAATGTCCTGCTCTAACTGCTTTCTGGGTTCTAACTGTTGATGGTCAAGGTTAAAAATCATTTGTTACACGTCACTCTAGTTACATTGGCACCTTTGCATGAACTCCACGTACTAGTATTCTAAGGCTCACTGTCAAGAAAAGCATGCATACGTTTCACATTATAAGAGAGATAAATATACGTTTACACTAATTTGTGATAAATGTATGACGGTTGGTGACGAAGTTGTCTTTTTCTTCTCTTTCTCCAGTACAAATTGACTAATTTAAATCTGGGGAAATTAAACTTTAAAAAAACGAAAATAATTAATCTACACAGATTTGTAATGATTTTCATTTCTTTTGGTAGGAAATAACTGGATATGATTCATTCAATTTCTATTACTTTATTCATATGCCGATTAGAAAATATAAAAAAAGCAATAAATACAAGACAATGCTGGGAATTTGAAAATCAGCGGTGGCAAGGTCAGCTTTCTGGGCATAACATTTGTGTAATGGTGAGCATTGTTGGCAGAGGACTATACTGGTTTCTTGGTCCTACCTCCAACGTGTGGATGCTAAACGGGTGAATAATCAATATTTATAAGGAGCTCACTGTTATAGTGACATCTTTATTCATCAATGAATTGTTACGTGAAGAAAAACTTACACATGACAACGCATCTAATTAAGCGCATAAATTTTACGTGACAGTAAACTCATTCTATATAACGTCTGAGGCTTGTTAGACTCACTTTACTAATGTTTCAGCCCAAATATTTTCATTAATTGGTTTAATTCCTGTTAATTTTGAATTACGCATTGTAGTGTTGGATTCACAAACTTTTTAATTCTCGATTTTCAATTGAATAAACGAGTGTGGTATGTATTTCAAACAAACAAGATTGAACATCTAATTATTTCAAATAAAATGCATCAAACACTCATCTTCTTCTGGCAAGTAAGAAAAACTAGTTATGCGATGCGGCATGTTTGAATTGCGTGACATAAACCAAATTTCCAATCGCAAATTTGGTGATAAATAAAATAATTTCAATAAGTGAAAAACTCAAATAGGTTACATAATTTGATTTTTTTTTCTTTTTTCGAGGGGATTAGCTTGTGGGAAAGCTACGGTAGTCCATCTCTTTGGAGGTCGGGAAAACTTACAGAGGCATTTCAGCTATCCTCTTACTATCATCGTGTGATTCACTATCGTTAAAAATCGAACCTATGACAAGATATGTGGAATGGGAATCTAAATTGATGAAGCATTTGTAATTTCAAAATTTCCCCCTCCATACATATTTCTTTTATCAAGCCCTCCTTACATATAACAATTGGAAAAATTAACTTAATTAGTATGGGGTAAAATAGTAAATTAATACGTGCGAATTAAAACCACTCCACGTTGGGGTAGTTACAAACTTTTTTTTAAGTACGCTTGTGACAAGAGATTTGTGTCTACATTGATTTTGGTCGCAATTAATTTGAAAAGTGAGATGGAGATCTTGGTGATGTTGATTTAAAGGAGGCCTCCTCATCGGACGGTGTTGGTGAATAGCACCATGCAGCAGTCAATGGGTGTTGTGTACAAACTCTGGTCATCTGGTACTTCTCTTTATTGAAAAAAAAATTAAACGAAAAAAAAAGCAAGATAACTATTTTGAAGTGCCAGGAACAATTCTCCGAGAATGAAATTAAAAAATGTGGTCAAGTTCTTCAAATCTAGTTGAATCTGCTAAACCATCACCTGCTAAAAAGAAAGAAAATAAGTTATAAACATTACCAAAATTGTATCAATCGTAACAAAGACATCAAAAAACAAAAATTGGAAAAGAAAATGAAAATTGTTTGAAATCAAATTCAAAATCTCTAATTGGATGGCATAAAAGGGAAAAGGGAGAGACTCTCAGAAACAATAAAAATGAGTGGCATGGGAGAGAACTCATGTTATGTCATTTTCTTAATTTTATGAAGAAGAGAAGATGGACATAGATTGTGAGATCACCCTCCCTACCACTCATCTTGACTGGCTTCTAAGAGATTATCTCCCATTTCAACTCGGCCAATTCTAAGAATGTATGTTGTGGTTACATGACTATGATGCCTTAATTTATAGAAACTCGAGGGCACACAGATTCAGAAAACCAACCTTAGAGTTAGACTTCTAAACGGGTTAGGTTTATTGGATTTGGATCGGGTTCAATCCGACCCGTTAAGCTAACGGGTCATCCGAACCTGACCCGTTAAACTAACGAGTCACCCGTTTCACCCATTAACAATTAATTTTTTTTTTTTTTGCATAGAGTTTTTTTTTGTTGTTAAGACTTTACTGAAATTACTAAAATATCATCAACTAACCGGTCTAACGGGTTGACCCAAAGTGACCCGTTATTTAACGGGTTCACCCGTTAACGACCCGACATGTTAAGCATCCATCCAAATACTAATATTAATAGATCGAATCGGATTGGGTTAACGGGTCAGATCCAAAATAACAAGTCTACTTAGAGCCCATGGTTTTCACAGCGAGGATTGCGTGTGTCAGTCTAGTTATATTCACACACACGCCTGCTTCTCATGTCATTCTAGCAAAGTTGGTAATCTCTCATGATTCATGGACTCCGCGTCACTCTAGTAACGTTAGCCATTTCAAGAAAAACGTGCGCGCGCTCGCATGATAAGAGATATGAAAGGCCTAAATTTGACTTGACAATAAGGGAAAATAATCTAAGAGCCATAAGGGTTGGTGAGTGAGTTGTCAATTTCCTTTTCCTTATGAGACCCATCAGGGTTGGTGACTAGAGGCCTGATTTGGTATACTTGGATCTGATATCTCGTCGTTGCATTCACTTTGCACATTTATAGAAACTTGAGGGCACACAGATTCAGAAAACCAACCTTAGAGATAGACCTCTAAACGGGTAGGGTTTATCAGGTTTGGGTCGGGTTGAATCTGACCCGTTAAGCTAACGGATCATCCGAACCCGACACATTAAACTAATGAGTCACCCGTTTCATCCGTTAACAATTATTATTATTATTATTATTATTTTGTATAAAGTTTATTTTTTGTTGTTAAAACTTTATTGAAATTACTAAAACATCATCAACTAACGGGTTGACCCAAAGTGTTCCGTTATTTAACGATTCACCCGTTAACGACCCAATCCGTTAAGCATCCACTCAAATACTAATATTAATGGGTCAGATCGGATCGGATTAACGGGTCGGATCGAAAATGACAGGTCTACTTAGAGCCATGGTTTTCACAATGAGGATTGCGTGTGTCAGTCTAGTTATATTCACACACACGCCTGCTTCTCATGTCATTCTAGTAAAGTTGGTAATCACTCATGGTTCATGGACTACGCGTCACTCTAGTAACGCTAGCAATTTTGAGAAAAACGTGTGTGCGCTCACATGATAAAATATATGAAACGCCTAAATTTGACTTGACAACAAGGGAAAATAATCTAAGAGCCACAAGGGTTGTGAATAGTTCAAGCATTTTTGTTATCATTCTAATTTTCTGAAGGTAGATAGAGAAATTGCATGTAAATCGAACAATGTTTCATAATCTTTTGCATGTTGGTACTATTGTTGATCCAAAGCCACAAGAACTTTGTTGGTCTAATCTTTTTTGCATGTAAATAGAAGTCTGATCTTTTGTGTGTATACAAGCAACAGTATCATTTAAACGCTTTAAAAACCCTCAGCGTCACGTGGGCAATTTTTGCTTGTTATAATCAAATATATGAAATTGAAATGTTGTACGAGGTTACAATTGGAGAGATTTTTCAGTGTGATTGGAACACGGGATGATACATCATGTGTCACTATACAAATGGTAGAATATGTTTGTTAAAAAATTAATAATTTAAAAAATAAAATTTTCACTACTTATATAAAAACACGTGGTGTACCACTCGTTTTTCGATCACAATGAAAAATTTCCCGTTGCAATTGTACCAAAATGTAAAGAAGTAAATTGTAATTTACCCTTTTTACTTTCACTTGCACATTTACCTGTTTGACGCCCAGCCATATTATATCCCAGTAAAAATATCACATCCATCAAAAAAATTAATTTTTCATCTATATTAATACAATGTATTTGAAGGACCGACAATTTTGAAAATGCGGTCTCATGCCGTAGAGGATGGTTTAGAAAAGGTGAGGCTCCCTAGTATATATAGGTAGCACTCCTCTGGATTGTTCATTGCTCATACACATCACCTGCTTCATACACTTGAACTTTATGGAGAGAAGCATGAGAGTTGTTTTACTACTAATCAGGTTTCTAGCCATTGCAACCATTACTTTCAGTATTGGTTTATCCAATGGAAATCCCGGTTGGCCTCCACTTTGCAAAGAAAGTGAAAGACAAGCACTTCTGATGTTCAAGCAAGATCTCAACGACCCTGCCAATCAGCTTGCATCGTGGGTTGCAGAAGAAGGTTCAGACTGTTGCAGTTGGACAAGAGTTGTCTGTGATCACATGACCGGCCACATCCAGGAGCTGCACCTTGATGGTTCCTACTTTCATCCGTATTCCGACCCTTTTGATTTGGATTCCGACTCTTGCTTCAGTGGTAAGATAAATCCTTCTTTGCTCAGTTTAAAGCATCTCAACTACTTGGACTTGAGTAACAATAATTTTCAGGGAACACAAATTCCTAGTTTCTTTGGTTCTATGACAAGTTTAACACACCTTAACCTTGCATACTCAGAGTTTTATGGAATAATTCCTCATAAACTGGGAAATCTCTCCAGTCTACGTTATCTCAATCTCAGTAGTTCCAATGGTTTCAATCTGAAGGTAGAGAATCTTCAGTGGATTTCTGGTCTTTCTCTGCTGAAACACTTGGACTTAAGTTTTGTAAATCTTAGCAAAGCATCCGACTGGTTGCAAGTTACAAACATGCTCCCTTCTTTGGTAGAGTTAGATATGTCTAATTGTCAACTTCATCAAATCACCCCCCTACCCACCACAAATTTTACTTCCCTGGTCGTCCTTGATCTTTCTGGAAACCGTTTTAATTCTTTGATGCCGATGTGGGTTTTCAGTATTAAAAATCTAGTTTCTCTTCGTCTCATTTATTGTTGGTTCCAAGGTCCAATTCCTAGCATTTCACAGAATATCACATCTTTGAGGGAAATTGATTTGTCATTGAATTCTATTAGTCTTGATCCGATTCCCAAATGGCTGTTTAACCAAAAAGACCTTGCCTTGAGTCTAGAATCCAATCAACTTACAGGACAACTTCCAAGCAGTATTCAGAATATGACTGGTCTTAAAGTTCTTAATCTCGGATCGAACGACTTCAATTCTACCATACCTGAATGGTTGTATAGCTTGAACAATCTCGAGTCTTTACTTCTTTCTTCCAATGCCTTGCGTGGTGAAATATCGAGTTCCATTGGAAACATGACATCCCTTGTCAATCTTCACTTAGATAATAATCTGTTGGAAGGGAAAATCCCAAATTCTTTGGGACATCTTTGTAAGTTGAAAGATCTTGATCTGTCAAAGAACCATTTCACGGTTCAAAGACCATCCGTAATCTTTGAAAGTTTGTCCAGATGTGGTCCGAATGGAATAAAATCATTGTCGTTGAGGTATACTAATATATCAGGTCCCATTCCAATGTCTCTAGGAAATCTGTCAAGCTTAGAAAAATTGGACATATCTGGAAATCAGTTTAATGGAACTTTCACAGAAGTTATTGGTCAACTCAAAATGCTAACGGATTTGGATATATCTAATAATTCATTAGAAGATGCAGTGTCGGAAGTTTCTTTTAGCAACCTTACAAAGTTGAAGCATTTCATTGCAAATGGAAACTCATTTACTCTGAAAACCAGTCGAGATTGGGTTCCTCCTTTTCAACTTGAAATTTTGCAATTGGATTCTTGGCATCTGGGACCTGAATGGCCAATGTGGTTGCGGACACAAACGCAATTAACACGTCTAAGCTTATCCTGTACAGGAATTTCAAGTACTGTTCCAACTTGGTTTTGGAACTTAACTTCCAAAGTAAGGTATCTGAATCTCTCTCACAATCAATTGTATGGGCAGATTCAAAACATAGTTGCTGGTCCTATGTCAGTGGTTGATCTTAGTTCTAACCATTTCACTGGTGCATTGCCTATTGTTCCCACCTCATTATTTTGGCTAGATCTTTCCAATTCATCATTTTCTGGATCTGTTTTCCACTTCTTCTGTGATAGGCCAGATGAACCACGGCAACTTCATTTTCTTCATCTCGGGAACAATCTTCTCTCTGGAAAAGTACCCGATTGTTGGATGAGTTGGCAGTACTTGAGCTTCCTAAATTTAGAAAACAACAACCTAACGGGGAATGTCCCAATGTCCATGGGATACTTAGATTGGCTGGAATCGCTGCACTTGCGCAATAATCACCTGTACGGAGAATTGCCACATTCCCTGCAGAACTGTACCAGGTTGTCAGTTGTTGACCTTGGTGAAAATGGGTTTTCCGGAAGCATACCAATATGGATAGGGAAAAGCCTTTCAGAATTGCAGATTCTGAACCTTCGTTCAAATAAGTTTGAAGGAGATATTCCTAATGAAGTTTGTTATTTGACAAGTCTCCAGATATTGGACCTTGCACATAACAAACTCTCAGGAATGATACCGAGATGCTTCCACAATTTGAGCGCCATGGCTGATTTTTCAGAATCACGTGATGCAAGTGTATATGTTATTTTGAATGGGATTAGCGTTCCACTTAGCGTTACAGCGAAAGCAATCTTGGTAACGAAAGGGAGAGAAATGGAATATGGCAAGATTCTGAAATTCGTAAAATTCATGGACCTTTCATGCAACTTTATGTATGGAGAGATCCCTGAAGAACTTACCGACCTCCTCGCATTGAAGTCACTCAATTTATCGAATAACCACTTCACCGGAAGAATTCCTTCAAAGATTGGTAATATGGCACAGTTAGAATCTCTCGATTTTTCCATGAACCAACTTGATGGTGAAATTCCTCAAAGCATGACGAATTTGACATTTCTGAGTCACTTAAACTTGTCCAACAACAATTTGACGGGACGAATTCCGAAAAGCACTCAACTGCAGAGCCTTGATCAGTCGAGCTTCGTCGGCAATGAACTATGCGGAGCTCCACTCAACAAGAATTGCAGCGAGAATGGGGTGATACCGCCACCAACAGTTGAGCACGACGGAGGAGGAGGATACAATTTACTCGAAGATGAGTGGTTCTACGTGAGCTTGGGAGTTGGATTCTTCACGGGGTTTTGGATTGTGCTTGGTTCTTTGTTGGTAAACATGCCATGGAGCATTCTTCTTTCACAGTTGCTGAATAGGATAGTGCTTAAAATGTATCATGTAATTGTTGAATATGTTTAGCTTTGTTTTGTACTTTGAGTAAGTTTGTTGGCATTTTCCTTGCTGTGACGAATATGCCAGTATGGTTGTGTTGTATGATTTTGTCAAATTTCGTCCTCTTGTTTCATTGTATTTTTTTTCAGGTTTGGCTTTAGAGGGGTTAGGTTTCATGTCCTCCCCTCCCTTGTATCGTTTTTGTTTTCGTTTCTAGAAGGGTAAGGTTTATGTTCCCCCTTCTTACTCAATGTTGTTTTTCTCATTTTCTTGGCATTATGAGGGGTAAGGTTTATATTCTCCCCTGACTAGGTGTAACTTATTTTTTTTCATTATCAATAAAATATCCCTCGTACTGTCGAGGTTTTCTTAAAAAATAAAAAATAGAAAAAATTATCCCATATAAAATTAAAAGACTTGTTTTCTGAACAAGTAATTCTTAATTCAGCAGAAGTAAATTGAATGACAAGAGAAATGTGTGAAAATGGTTTAGGGATTAGTTACCTATTAATTAATTATCAACAAACTCATATTATTTCGTGGTTTTATTTTTAATTATTTTTCATTTACAATTTTACTCCTGGATCTTTCTTTTGTTCTCTCTCTTCTCTCTCCCCTTCTTCGTAGTACTTCTCTCTCTCTCTCTCTCTCTCTCTCTCTCTTCTTCATACTAATTCACGTGACACCTCTCGCTCTTGTACGAGAAAACCCAATTGCTATGCAGTTTTGAAATGCTCGTGATGCAAGCAAAATGGAGACGACAGAGTTAGCATGTTTCTATGGTGAGTAAGTTGTCAGTTTCCTTTTTCTTATGAAACCCATCAAGGTTGGTGACTAGAGGCCTGGTTTGGTGTACTTGGATCTGATATCTCGTCGTTGCATTCACCTTGCACATTTTCCAGCCCAAAAAACTTTCAACTAATGTCCGACCTTATCATAAGCATATTTAAAAACATGTGGTCCAATATTTTATTGAATATCACACTGGATTTCTAACCATGAGTCGTCGGTTCGATGTACTATGTGCAATGCAGGGAAAAAATATTGTTTTGAATTTGTAAAATTCTAAGTTTTGTTCATACAAATCACCCCTTTTTACGTTGATGGAAATTAATCGAGGTTCACTACATCGCAAGTCTCTTTTTTGGTCAAGAGTTTACTTTATTTATAACACAACAGATTACAAAAAAGAAGGCCCAAATACAATAAACACACAAACAAGAAGACGGACCTCCATAGTAACCCAACAGCCCAAAACAAACATAGTTTTGAGCCCTAAACAGGAAAAAACACCAAAGCAAACCCTAGCAGATTTCTACCTCCGCCTTCAACCCGCTTGCCGAACGAACAACCCCTGCACCCATCAAGAAATCAAAATAACTAAAGCCCCAAAGCTGGATGAAAACAGAGCTACAACAGGAACCCAAAACAGAGCCCCAAATTCCTCCACAGCACACCACAGCAGTAACCGCCACAAATCGAAGGAAGCTAGTGGGAAAAAACCCACTAGCAACAGTGCCAACAAAGTCAAACCAAAGGAAGGAGGTGGTGTGAACACCGAGCCTAAGCTCTACTCACCTTCCGGGAGAAGCACGATAAATCGCATTGAAAAAAGGTGGGAGCCAAGCCGGACTGTGAGATCAAAGAAGGATGAAGCCGATCCGGATTGGGGAACGTGGGGGGAAAGAGGGGGAAATGGTGGAAAGAAGGAGAAAATGTGGAAAAGGTGGAAGAAAGACGAAAGGAAACAAAAGGGAAACGTGGAAGAACGGAAGAAATGGGAGAAGTTGGAAAAGGGACTGAGGTCAAAGAAAACAGATACACGGGGTTGAGTGGCAAACAGGCCACTGGGCGGGGGTACATGGAAGATGAAGGAGAAGGAGAAGGAAAGAAAAGGAAAAAGGAGAAAGGAGAAAGGAGAAGAGAAGGACTGCCACCGACCCTGGCCATAACTAGGGTCGGTGGCTGCGGGAAGAATGAAGTGGAGGACACACACACAACAGGTATAACAAGTTTAGGAACCGGAAGGCGATATTCCGTTCCTTATTCGTAATTTTTTTCACACATACCGCAAAGCTTTTGAAATGAACAAACCAACTCGTATATATTCGCTTCAGACCTAGGGGATAAGAACGATAGATCCAGATGTTTTCCTGTTCTCAAGGTCTGCGTGTGCCTGTGCTGCTTCAGATAATGAGTAGGTGTGATTCACTCGAACCCGCAATATACCCGATGCAACATTAGCAAATACCTCTCCTGCAGCCTTCCTCTCGGGTTACAGCGTAATGAAAGAGGCTAGGCCGAGTCAAGAAGAGTGATTTCGCTGCAAGGGCTGATAATGGAACTGGATCAGACGCACCTGATGACTGCCCAAAATTCACCATGTATCCCCGAAGTTTTAAGACTTCCAGTGATCCCTGAAAACAATACCTCCCGATAAGAATTCATAGTCGACAACATTACTTATCTATTAGATGATGTCAATGTTGGAGTTGAGTAGTTTGGATAAATCATGACAAGCTTATGAATATAAGACAAGTATAACTTACCTCAAACGTATCCTTCCCTACAGAATCGTAGACAACTTCAACCCCATTGTTGCGATGGGGGGTGAGAACGGGAAAGCCATTGTAGCAGTTGCAGAGACCAGAATCAAATTATAAGGGCAAAGACCAGTTCAGCCTGTTTTGAAGGGAACAGATAAAAAATATGTCAAAGAAGATCGAAGGCCACTACTTTTCAGAGGTTCTACAAATTCAAGAGAAAAAATGGCAATAAATCACAACGGTTTCCCTCTTTCGCTAAGAAAAACTAAGGTATATATAAGAAGGAAACCAGCTTTGATTTCACACGAACTCGAAAACCAAGTTAAACAATAAATCATCAAAATTTCCCTCTACTCCAATAAAGCAACGTAAACAATAATCTTTCTGAGTCAACTGTTTGGTTGGTGAGAAAATAAAAGAAAGTCAAATCCTCTCCCCCCATCATTCCCAAATACAAAATTTCTCAAGTTAAATTAAAAAACTTAAAATCTCAACTAAACCAATCAGCTCCAATCAATTCTTTTCACTGTAATCTGTCTAAAGATGATTCCTTTTTCATCAAATGTTATCCAATTATCAAAACCCAGTTCCTACTAATTACATATAAAAATTGGCCAAATCAACATCAATCAACCTGATTAAAATTTTAATTACAAATTGAAAAGGAAAATAGTACTAATACAGCAGTAGTTGAATAAAATTTTAATTTACTTTTCCACTAATTAAAACAAACAAAAACGCCAGTTTTAATCAGTGAAATTCGAGAGAAGATTACCTCGTTGGGGCTTGCTGATCAAGGAAGCTAGAAGCGAAGCAGCTGAAGGGCGAATATTGCACAATTGCAAATAGAAAAATCCATTCTTTTTAGAGAGAGAGAGAAGAGAGAGAGAGAGAGAGGAGAGAGAAAGTCGTCCTCTAGAAAATTAAAAAAAAAGCGCTTGTCTGCGATTGGTTGGGCATTCAGTGGGGTAGGCGGACGAATAGTATGACGCCACGTACGCGCTAACTGGCGAACACGCGGGCTGGGACTCGCGGGTGATCCTGGAGATTTAACTGATATAACCGTCGCGTGCGCGGACTGAACACTTTTGTTTGGTTTGAAGTTTAAAGTTATGATTGAGATTAACGTATTCTTTTGTTGAAAGTAGACTGAGATAATCAACTTCTTAATCAAACTGCCTGTGTCAAGGGCCCCACTCCACTCCCACGTTGTAATCTTTTCTGTTATGGTGATGGTGCTAAGTAAAATCAAGGGTGAGGATTGAGGGAATCAATCAAACGGTTGGCAATAAATAAGAAAGTTCGAAAAGTCAACCTGCTCATAGCAGGTAATGTTTGGACCTACTTATTTCAACTCATTTAGGTAAATTTAGCCAAGGATTTTCATGGATCAATGAGCTAACTCATTATATATGTGTACTTTTTTTTAATTTTATATTTATAAATTTATTGAATTTAACGGCTAAAACCTAATGTGATCAAATCCAATGATAAAAAAAAAAAATCTAACGTTCCAAATTTAAATTCAATGGCTAAAGTAAATAAAAAAATTATTTTATGTGTTTCATATTCTTTCATAGTGTTCCATGAGTTTCATGATGTTGATTTAGAGATTTTTCAATATATATCGGAATCTAATTTTTTTTTAGGTTAAAATGTTCATAAAATTAAATTATGATAGTCTACCTAATATTTTTTTAAGTTACTTTAAGAAAAAAATATCCTAAATTCATTCTTTAATACTCTCGGGCTAAAATTTAAACCAAAAGCTTTGGAGGAGAAAAATTGTTTCTGGTTAAACCCCAAATTTTCTAGCTTAAAAATTTGAAGTTTTAACTCAAAAGTTGGAGATGATCAAGTAAAGGAATAGGATCCTCTCAAGATCCTAGCAAAAATTGAACAGTCAAAAATTAATTTTTTGTTTATGTCCACTTTTTTCTGTCCATATTCTTTTATCTTCACCTTTTGCTGTTCATCTTCTTCCATCTTCTTCCCGGTTAATATGCTCATGTTCATCTTCTTCTCTCTTCAAGGTCATTTAATGGAATAATGTTTGATTATTATTGTTGTTGTATTTTTTTTTAACAAACGATATTATTTATACTAACAGTGTAGGGGAGTTAACTCAGCCTTACAATGAGTTAGCAATGATGTGATTCAAATTTATCTTTAACGAGATTCAAACTTAAAACCTCTCATTTACAAATGATATTGTTGTTGTATTTAAACCTTGGATTTTTAACATTTTTTAATATTTAGTATTGAATGATATGAAAATAAATGGTTAATTTAAAAAAAAAGAATATTTGTAACATAACATTGAATAATAAGAGCAATGATGCCATACTCGTAAATCACTGTTTGTTTATGTTATTTTATTTTATTTTATATAATCAATTCATAGATCTTCGTTATAAGTACATCAAAGAGCTTCCATCTTGGTGTCCTTGCTAGAGTCCCCCACAATCCTCCTCCAAAACCAGTGCTCCTGCCACACTATCTCCATCTTCTCAATCGGCACATTCTTCGTCTCCGGCAAAAACAAGTACACAAACACCGTCATCACCGCCACCCAACCCCCGAAAAAGAAGAAAATCCCAGCCTTGAAGTGGCACAGCATTGCTAGAAAAGTTTGAGCAACAATGAAAGTGAACAAAAAGTTCACCACCACATTGATACTTTCTCCCGCTGATCGAATTTCCAACGGGAAAATCTCACTCGGAACCAACC